AATTTGCCATGGGAGGCCCTACCAGGGGGCTAAAGCCCCCAGACAACATAGCCGCTGGGATCCCTGGGTCACACAAACCCCTCCACCACGATAAGCTAGCGATTCACGGAGAGGCGGCACAAATCCGATATTTTCAAATCCGACCTGAGTCACTTTCGTGTGTGGTACTGAATCTGATACATATCTGATGTTTTAGAAAGTGACTGCTGTTTGAATGGCCATGTCGCCATAAATCCGTCTTTTACATCACTGACTGTCATGGTGCTGGGTCGTTGACCCAGTGTTTTGTGTTTAGTATGATTATTGTCTTCCGTTCTAGTTTATTCTGATTTTGGTATTCTGTGTTCTCCGCTTTTGCCCTGTTTGTGTCTCTGAATCCGTGTTGTGGATTTCCTGTTTTATTTTGAAGGTCTGTGTCTGTTGTCACAGTGTTCAGCTTGTATCCTCAGGTCGTCTTGTGTATTAGAATCAGCTGTGCTTCCCACCTGTGTGTCATCACCTGGTCTCCTCGTGTGTGTATATATAGTGGGTGTCGGTCTGTGCTCGTTGTCAGCTTGTCTGTGTATCATGGTGTTTTGGTTCTATGGTCTGCGTCTTTCTGCCCTTCACCCCGTTTCGTCATTATTTTCAGGTTTGCTCTTAGTTTTCCCAGTTTAGGTTTCTTCAGTTATTTGTCATGCCTCATTGCCTATTCTGTCACTCCACCACTTGTAAATAGACGTCACTCATATCATCAGTCTATTGCCTGTATTTTGGGTCCTTTTCCTCCAACACCACACAGCTCGCCTCGGCAGCCGTGACACTGACACAAGACAGACGCCAATTATCAGCTCTGGAGAAGACATCGTGAACACTTCCTGGCCATCCAGTGTCGATGTTAGTGAAACTGTTGGGAAGACAACGTTGGAGAAACGTTAACATTTTATTTGTACTGTATAATCTGCAGATTCTGACAGAAATCTGCAACTATCCTTTGAAGCACCGCTCCTCTCTAAAACAGCAATAAGGATAATTATTAGGCCATATGTAAAGAACAAAATTACTTCATAACTTAAAGTAAAATTGGGAAACGTAAAGTCCCAAACAAGTCTTTATATTAAGGTCCATCTGTCAAACAATACTGTTTGGTCTGGGTCTAAACAGCGTGCGTTGTGTGTGACGTCTTCTTTTGCGCATGCGGGCCGCTTTGAGGGTTCACACTAGAGCGCGTTTGCTGTCACATTTTATTTGTAGTGTGAACAAGCAGACAAAAAAATCTGATTTGATCAAAAAAATCTGAATTGAGCATTAAGACCTGCAGCGTGAATGTAGCCTTAGCTACGATCAGACATTAGCTCTCCTTTTTTCATTAGTGCACCAAACACAAAACATACATAAAGTATGAACTCATCTGTCATACAAAAGTAGCTCAATTTGAATGACAACCAACAACTAACTGTTTCTGTTTCCTTCTGATCTTTTTGTCCCACCTCTCAGACACTTTTCCACACATTCAAACACTGAAGAGCGATAAAGAGGAAACTGCTGAGCAGCAGAACATCAGCAGAGACAGAAAATCACATCAACTGCTCATAAAAGACAGACATGGACAGCAAATACACTCGCCTTGGTGAGTACATTTAAAAAGACGAATCTATAACATTAATTTTATGTAAACCTAATCAAACTCAACACCCACTTATTAAACTTAACATGTATCAGATTTTATTCATTACTTTTATTTATCTACTTGTTTGATCTCTTCCTCTAATAATTTCTTTTGGTTATTACTATTTTCAATGCTTTTCTAAGTACTTTGTACACTGTGATCCAAATCAGAAGTTCAGTCTACCAATCCAAAAGCTGATTCATGAAAGGTAAAATAAGTTTGACTGAAAAGTTATTTTCTTTTATTAAAGCCCAGAGTCTGAAAGAACGTAGGAAAGAAAATTAAAATAATTTATTAGGAAAAGAATTGTTTTTCAATCAATGTCATCTGCAGTTTTTTGATGAAACAAGAAGTGAAAAAAAATAAGATTTGAACAGTTTTCCTACTAAAACTACAGAGGAACAAAATAAGGGAGGTATTTTCTTGTTCGTCTCCTTTGACATTTGTTCTGTTCACTAATTAACATGATTCTTTACCCCGCTTCAGTTTAATGGTCCACTCACCAAATCTACCATGACTTTATTTTCTTGTTCGATCCAATTCCATTCAATTCTGAAATATTTGGAAAATCGAAATGAATCCAGAATGCAATGATTAGAAAATTTCACACCCAGATTGTATTTACAATAGAACATAGAAAACACATCAAATGTGTAAACTGAGAACATTGCAATATCTGTGTGCCTTTTCTTTATTTAATTTGATGTACCAGTGGTGACAGAAGTCAGAGGGGGACATTGACAGTGTCCGAAGATCTGTCTTTGTTCTCAGCACATTATCACATATTCCCACAGAGTCAGGCACCTACTGGTTAAATATTAAAATACTGTAGATATCATCATATATGGCGCACATGAGGAAGACGTCATACAGAGTTTGAAGGGTAACTGAGAGATGTAGTCTTGACTTCATGATCTATAATAGTTGACACAGTAAGAAGGTTACTGGTTCAAATCCTTTAGGGATCTTTTTTCCCCCCTGGAGTCTCACTCCCGAGGCGTAACATCCTGACGATTTGTCACGTCCC